TAAAACAAAATGAAATCTCTGTAACAGGTTGCTTTACTTTTTGACTATACGAGTACACAAGTTATCTAGAAATAATTCGAATTCGAAAAACTTTACCTGGGGAAGTCCTCTGATGATGCATGGTCCCTCTAAATCATCATATCAATCAACAAGTCACTGCCCACTTTTTAAGTATTTACTTAATACGTTGTAATCAGTAAGACGAGTAATTAAACAATTCACATTAAAAAACGTATATATTAATCAATTAGAGACAAAACAGTGCAATAACCGGCAGAGTTAATTCAAACTAATACAAATTCCCAAATAATGCAATTCTGCATTTTCAGCCTGTCGCCTAAAATCTCTCGGGCTGATCGGGAAGTGATACATATTTTTAACGAACGGCTTTTAAGGTTTAAATTTACATTTGAGGCTCGCCTCAATACAGTCTTTACGCTACTACTCCATACATTTTATCTCTCTTCAACTAAAGGTTTTACCTATGCTTTTTCTTTTCATTCTATAGATTTAAGATTCCAGTGAACGCTGTCGCTCCGTCAATGCGATATACCACAATACGTTAGACAAGGAAAGGCGAGAGGCAAACCTCTGCACATATACTTCTTAAAGAACAAATGAGATGGATATATATATCGTCGAGTTTGTCGCATATGGGAAAGGAAGGCCGTTTAAAGGAATACCATCGACGTAATTTATTGTAGAATGACGGATAAAAAATACAATTATTATTGATGCAAATAGGGAAAAAAAAATATAAAATTGTGATTAAAGATGTATCGATTAATAAGTGTAATCCTTCATATGTATTGGTGAGGCACTGCCTCATCTGCCTCATAGGACAAGCCGCCCCTGCAGCTTTATTAATTTGTGAAATTACATAGAAACAGAAACCAACGCCAACCCAGCACAATATTTTTTCTACTCGTAATAAATTCCTTGAAATAATAATTTCTGAATATTTTTTAAAACGTAACTCGTTATGGAAAAAATATGGTTTTTTACACGACGATAAAATTGCATTATCGTCTCCCGAAATTAATTCACTCGCGATTTCATCGCTCGTGAATTAATCTTTTCGGTCGACGATAAAATACCATTTTATCGTCTTGCATAAAAAAAACTATTATATGTCTGATATTTTCGCTCTTTAGTAGTTATTATTTATAATAGGCAAAGTTGGTTTGGAAATGGCGATCGATGACATACTGATTTTTAAACAAAGTTTGACAATTATGACATGGCCAGATATATGGTTTTACAACGCTTGACGCTATTCTCTGGCTTGACGTTTAAAGTCGGCTACTGGTTAAAATCAAGGAAAATATACACTTTAAAACCAAATTTTAAATAACTTAAAAACGATTTATTATAGGTATAGGAACACGTTTAATCAATAAGTAATGAATTGAAAAACCTTTTCACTAGTGAAATTAAAAAAGTGGGTTTCTATTTGAAAATGATTTATGATAATCTTTTAATCGCTCATTCCATGACAGCTACGGCCAATATTATATGACATTCGAACAATTTAATTTTTGAAATAGATAGTCAATCACTAAATTTGTCGTTTAGGCTATACACATTTTTTTTCGCAGGCAGTTTTTTGGTCAAACATTTTAATTTTTTTTTTTCTCAAAAACATTTAATGTTAGCTATAAAGAGCTTGATATCAAAATTCATAAAATTTTACAGAGAATTTAAATATGTAATAAAAAATAGGGGTAGCCATTTAAAATAAGAAAATTGCTGTCAACTTCAGGTATAAAATCAAAGAATATTATAGTGCTATAAATATTTCTCAAAATTCTTGACAATTTGATGAAGGAACACATAATTAACATTCAATAACAAAACTTTTGTTTAAAATTTTTATTTTTTCGAGTAAACAAATTAAATCTAATTTGTTTTATTAAGGTATCTATGTTTTATAATAACCAGATATGATTTTCACTGTAAACAATGACTTAAAAAATGTTAGAAACTAGTGCATGATACTATTTGTTTAAACAACGATTAAATTATATTCAACATATTTGAAATAGCAGTTGAAGACTGAATTCGACACAATTAAAATGTTCTATTAAATGTAAAAAAGGATCACTTTTGACGCTTTAATAAAAACTAAAATTATTTTTATTTATAGACAAAGCTAATCATTTTTCTAAAATTTTGTTTAGAAAGCACTAGGGCTATTATCCTATTGTGCTGTTTTTGAGGTGTATGGTAATTCAGAATAAATTGTTGTTAAAATTTTCTTATAGTACGTTAAATTAACAAAATAAATACTGCGTATATAACGGGTATATAGTATTTACCCAATTTCTATGCACCACTGGATTTAGCCATTGGGTATATACAGGATGCGAAACATCGGGTATATCCTTGGTATATCGAATGTTTTGTCCATCACTGTTTGGGATGTTGCGAGATTCCCCTTCGCCATTTCATCAATAACTATGTTTAAAACAACCTATAACATATATACAGGGTGTTTCAAAACAAATGCGAAAAACTTCAGGGGATGATTCCTTGTTCAAAATAAAGGGGAGTTTGCTTCATAAACGTTGGGTCAAAAGTCAACCATTAGGGAGATATCGCGGTACAAAGATGGCGGAAAAATAATGTTCTTATTTTTTATCTTGAAAACGAAAAGAGATAGACTAATGAAATTTTATGGAAGCATTACTGTTATGAAAACACACTTTCTAGTAATTTTTTCACTTTTTTAAAATGAGTGGAAGGGGTTGAAATAAACTACCTACGCGTTGACTGTAATTTTTAGTCGGCCACTATTTAGTTGCAAAAGTGAAAACAATCCATACTTATTAGACTATTTAATTGCATGCGAGCGCGGCTTTATAAGGTTATGTTGGTTACAAATATGCACCTAAATAGTCGGCTTATTAAAAATTGCCTGCAGCGTGCATTTGATTGCAATGCAATCAAATATTGGGCCGATCGGCTCCATAAGAATGTATTGTTTTCATCATTGCAACTAAATAGTCGGCCGACTAAAAATTACATGTCAGTGCGGATCTTAATTATCCTAAAAAAACTCACAAGAGAAAAGCGAGCTGTCCAGTTCTTGCTGCAAACCCACAGCAAAGCAGCTCAAAAAAATTGCCATAATAATATGTACTACTATATACAAATACGAGATTTTTGCAGGGTACGATCGGCCAATTCTTTTTGGAGGATAACAGTAATTTTCGAGAAAAAGTGCCGCTGCCTGGTTATTGAAGCCACCCCGACCCTCAATTTTCTGAAATGCCTTGGCAATTGCACGGTACCATGCATAACAATTAGAAAAGAATAACCTAAACAGTGCTTTTAATAATAAAGTATTTTAATTAGTAGGATATCACATCGTGCAATTGCCAAATCATTATAATATATACTGAAATATAGATGTCTAATATCGATTTTAGTAATTTATAACAAAACTAGTTGAAGCCTGGCGCATCCGCCACGACATCAAAAAAAATATTTTTGATTTTTTTTAATTAAATGAAAAACAAAAAATCCAGCGGCGACAGTTTTTAGAAGAGCCAATTAGCTATCTTTTAGTAAAAAAGCAACTTTCTAGAGCAAGTCGTTACTTCAGTAGAGATGACACAGATAAACATTAGCATTTTATACATATATGTAGATTGTTGTGTGGTGCTTATATAAAGTTGTTGGGGGTGCTTCTATCGAAACTAAACAAATTAAACTGATTTAGAAACAGAAAACAAAACAATACCGAAATAAAATTAAATTACAGAAAGAAAACAAACATAAATTACAGAAATAAGATACGCTAATATACAACAAAATCTAAAATTATTAGAAGTTAATATCTATACAGGGTTAGCCTTAAATAAGTACAAATATTTTTAGGGGTATTATATTTCGACACCAGAAACACTATTATGAGGTTTTTTAGCCAATTTTTTTTAATATGAAATTTTTTGTATTTTTTTTTTAGTTTTTAGTTTAAAAACAGAATTTCTTGATAATATGGCAACATAGGTAGTAGTTTATATTTACAAGAAATAAAACCCAGCAAAGATCCAGTAGTGATTCTCAAAATTTTACTAAAAAATATTTTTTTTTTGGAAATTTTCAAAGTAAAATAACTCGCTGCACTTATTTAAGGACTAATTACTTATATATTTGTACTAACAATATTTGTTACTTTCTTGTCAGTATAAAACTAATTAATATAAATCTAAGTATACTTAAAAATAATGCTAAATAAAACAATATAAAAAGGAGTAGGAACTGTCAAACAAATATCTATTGTGAAAAGCTAGTACATAATATATCTGTAATCAGATCACATATAAAATGTTAGATATGTAAAATTGCTGAACTCATATATCTATAACTAAACGTTCTCTAACCCAGTGTGAGTACATATTATCAAAGCAAACCTTTGAAGGAGAGTGAAAAGGACAATAACTCACAATCTTTAAGTTGTTTAATTTAAAAAAAAATTTAATGCTTAAAAAAGCAGGGGGCGACATCTTTCGGGGAATTTAAAATATTCCATCATCTTAAAGAAAAGAGACAAAAAGTCACTTAGGAGTACAACCACTCAGAATCAATAAAACCAATTAGAGCCGTTAACATTTAAAACAACTCATTCATTGTAACTTTAAATTATATAACTCTTCAAGAAGGGAGCATTTTGTTGCAATACCAAATATCTATATCATAATCTCCAAACCATATTATTTCGATTTTTTATTTTAATATTTAATTTTTGACGAGAATGGACGATCGTCTTAAGACTGTTTCTGTGATGAACAGAAACAGTCTTAAGAAACAGTAAAAAAAAATAATATGGTTTGAGATTATGATATAGTTGGTTTTATTGATTCTGAGTGGTTGTACTTCCTAAGTGCCTTAACAAAGTTTCTTTGGGTGTGAAGATGGGAATATTTTAAATTCTCAGGCCTATGTGGCCCAACTTTGCTTCTTTAAGCATTATTTTTTTTTAAATTAAACAACTTAAAGATTGTGAGTTATTGTTCTTTTTACCCTCCTTCAAAGGTTTGCTTTGATCATATATCTATTATTAAATATCTTTTAGTAATATATTATGATTCTTTTAATAGCAGTAGCGCAATTAAATCATAAAAACAAAACTTTACTTTTGAAAACATGTATTGATGTACTATTGATGAGTAATTTAAAATGTTTTAACTCGTAATAGTTATAAATTTATAGTAAATATAATACCATTTTTAAAATATAAAATTATTTTTTATATACCCATAATATAAAAATATATTTAACATTAGAATTAAAGTTTTGCCATATTACGAATTTAAATATGAAGCAGGTTCAGATTACATTTCAATTTTACATACTTCACATACGAGTGCTAAATTTATCACTTTCACTTTTTTCGAATCCATTATTTATTGCTCCCATACCGTCTTTTCTCTTATATCTTTTAACTTGGTTGCTTAATTGCGATCCACCAGAGAAATGGTTAGTTATTTCTTGTAAGCTTTTACCTTCGGTTTCAGGCAACCAAATATATAGCATAAAACACCCCAATGCTGCTATACCACTATAAAACCAAAAAACCCCATAAAGTCCAGCTAGATTTACTATATCTAAAAATGTTTTGTTCGCCAAAAAGCCGATGACATATCCAGTACTTGCGGAGATACCAGCAGCGGTATCCCGTACTTCATTAGGGAATATTTCTCCCATTATTATCCATGGAAGGCTGTAAATCATTAGGTAACTGAAAAACCCCATTGATAGTATAGCGGCTAATGGGATCCAATTATATTGTTTTGAGACATCTTCATTAATGAAATTATGAGTTTCTATGTGCGTAGCATTAATCTTATAAGCATAGAATCCTGCACATAAAAAACAAATAGTAACACCAAATAATGAAACAAATGTTAATAATCTTTTTCCGAAATATCTAACAAGAAATATTAATAGAATAGAGCCAAACAGTTCAATAATGCCAATTAAAATTGTAGCAAGATAAGTATCGATGGGTACTTGTAGCACTTCAAAAATTTTAATAGCATAAACATTGATAGGGGTAGTACCAAAATGCGCCAAGACCAGCGTCAAACACATTAATGCATACGGTTTTATAAAAGTCAATTTTGAAAATATTTTTATTTTTGAATAAAACGCCTCTGTTGTCTTTTTACTCAACTCGTCACAAATACTTTTATATTCTTCATCTATTTCTTCAATGTTGACCCATCCTCTTAGCCATGCTATGCTTTCTTTTGCTTCTTTAGTTCTTCTCCTTTCTAGTAGCCAATAAGGAGTTTCAGGAATAATTATAAAAAGCAGTAATCCAATTACAGGAACACACGCGTTTATAAGTGCCATTGTTCGCCAAGGATAGATTGTACCCAATACGTATGACATAATAATTCCAATTAGGATGGCTACTGTAGATGTAGAACTTAGGGCACCTCTTAAGTCAGGTTCGGTTATCTCCACGACATAAATCATAGTCTAAAAGAGAATACATCGTTATTATATACTATTTACGTTTGGTAAAAATTACTTAATTATAATAATTATTGTTTGTTCTCCGTAATTAGTATGTAGAAAAGAAAAATTGTGTTTTTTTTTGGAAAGTTATACAAGTTCTTCCCAAATATCCACGATTTTTTTTTCTACATTACATAATTAATTTTAGGATGTGTACAATAAATAACGGGCGGTAACAAAATTGTGTCAAAGACGGCTGAGGAAAAACAATCGATAATAATTTTTTCGAGGCCGATCTCTAGGCCTCACTTAGTAAAAATTGGCATAGAACTTGTCAAAAATTAATGTTGTATGTTAGAATGTTTTCAGACACAATCTGTTTCTAAAATTTTTTGAAGTGAAACGTAAAAAACTATTTTTTACGCGTAAAAACTATTTTATACACGTAAAAATCTATTTGACACCCTCAAAAAAAAAATCCGTGTAAAAAACTATTTGTTAGACGTAATAGCCGGAGAGCTGGCGACATATTTAGAGAACATATTTTAGGCAAGTTAGAATAACAAAAAAAAAAAAGTTTAATAACTTGTGAACCCAGAATCCTAAGTCTGGCTGGGGGGTTGGGGGTATTTCGCTACTGCGCAACCCATAACATTTGCAAAAAAATAAATCCAAAAAACATTCTTTAGGCAACTTGAACTTTGTTTATTCATAAATTTTAGCATCTATTTAACCTAGAAATAAGTGTGCCAGACTTTTTTTCGGTTTTAAAGTGTAACCAGTCATTTCAAATATGTTTAATTATTATACCTGGAAAACATACTTTAGGCATTCTAAAAATTTTACAGCGTGTTTATTAGATGATATTAAAAAATATGTGTTAATTGCCAGACGAATTCAATGGGATTTAATACTTGCCAGACGCGAATAAAGATTTTAAATGAGCGCGACAAAAAAGTCTTATGAGTATCTATAAGCGCGAGAAAGATAGTTTATTGAGACCCGTCGGTAGCCGATGCGGCTGATGTAACAGTATTTTGGAGTATGTACTTCAAATTTTCATAAAAACAATTTTTTTTTCGGTTTCATTTCAATTATTTGCAGGCTTTTAATTTAGAGATTATTTTGTTGGAATTAAGTTACCAGGTACAAATATGTATTTATAAATTAAATATTGACGTGCATAGTGTAAATAGTTTAGAATAATTACTGCAAATAAATATTTTAGTAACTACTAATTTCGTTACTAACTACTAAAACACAATGGATAAAAACATTTAAGTTGTGTAGTTTGTAAAAAAGTTACTAGTGACAAAGTTATTGTTTTTGATGAAGGCTACAAAAATGCAAAGAATTTTTAAAAGTGCCCCAACAACATGGTTTAAAATTTAAAGAAGTGGTTTTACCAGAAAACGTAGTTCCGACAAAAGGGTACCATGTACAGTGCTAAAAAAATAAGTATTCTGGAATTTTATTAAAGTACCTACCATTGTTAATCTTTCTAAATAGATTCAAAAGTAAGTAAAAGTGCTTTACTTTTATGCTTAGGCGTTAAAATGACTTTTTTATACTGTGAATCAGGTCGCAAAAATTAATAATAATATAATATGTCACAAAAGTATAATAATAATTATATTTTTGTGACGTTTGAAAAAAATATATTTTATATTATGCTAATTTTAAATAATTATTCGTCATTTTATTCTTTCAGATACAAAATACTTAAATTAAAAGTCTTCTTATTGAAAGGTTTCAATCATACATTTTATTAAAAAAAATGTTTGTTTTTTATTTATTCCATATTAGTTAGTTTTTTTTAAGTTTTTACGACTCCAAAATGCTGTTACGTCAGCCGCATCGGCTGCCGACCGGGTCTCAATAAACTATCTTTCTCGCGCTTATTATAGGTACTCATAAGACTTTCTTATCGCGCTCATTTAAAATCTTTATTCGCGTCTGGCAAGTATTAAATCCCATTGAATTCGTCTGGCAATTAACACATATTTTTTAATATCATCTAATAAACACGCTGTAAAAATTTTAGAATGCCTAAAGTATGTTTTCCAGGTATAATAATTAAACATATTTGGAATGGTCTGGTTACACTTTAAACCCGAAAAAAAAAGTCTGGCATACTTATTTCTAGGTTAAATAGATGCTAAAATTTAAGAATAAATAAATTTCAAGTTGCCTAAAGAACGTTTTTTGGATTTATTTTTTTGCAAATGTTATGGGTTGCGCAGTAGCGAAATAACCCCAACCCCCCAGCCAGACTTAGGATTCTGGGTTCACCAGTTAATAAACTATACATTTTTAGTTATTCTAGCTTGCCTAAAATATGTTCTCTAAATATGTCGTCAGCTCTTAGGCTATAAGAAACTATTTGTTACACGAAAAAAACTATTTATTTACGCGTAAAAAATAGTTTTCTACGCATTAATAAATAGTTTTTTTTACATTGGTGAAACATCTAGACCCTTAAATGTTAGAATTAAAGAACATAAATATTATTTAAGAAAGGGAGATTTTCACAAATCTAAGATTTGTCAGCATTTATGGGACACAGGGCACAGAATAAATTTTAATAACAAAAAAGAAAAATAAAAGAGTTAATTCAATCTAATAAAAATAAATGCTCATGCATCTGTAGATGTTCGTAATGTATGGCAATCGCTTCTTTGATTTTAAATGTTCTTTAACACATAAATAAACATAACATACGTAAAATTTAAAAATAATCATACAGAAAGTTTGGGGCTTTTTGGTTTTACCTTATTAAGTAACTGTTATCAGGTAGTAATTGTTAATTTTAAAGTTTAACTTGATATAATGTCATTTTAACAGAACGTCAACGGTTTCTTGTAGACGTATCTGTTTTAAAAAAGTAAAGTGTTCTCGAATAGTTGAATTTAAATATTTTAAATAGTTTTTTCTTTATTCTTTGTATTTTTTTGCTTCCGACGATGGAAAGAGATAAACTTTCCGAAACGTTAAGCATTTTTTTCTTTGTTAGGCAAATTTGTATAACTGTAAACATAACTTCTGACAAGCAGTGGCCGTTTAGGTTTAACGCAGAAGTATTTACAAAAAATAACTATTTTATTTTGTAGATGCAGTGGTGATGCAGTGTTTTGTAGCTGCAGTGCAGTGGCGAAATACCCATAAAGGATTTTTTTTCGAGAGATGAATCCGTCACATAGATATAGACATTTTTTAATAGATTTTTAAATTTATTACTTTTTTAACATTTCAAACTACACCTTTACAAACATGTCCTTCAAATCCCTAACTTAATAGCTAACAGCAATTAAATGAAGTTTTAGTTCAAATCTGCGCACATAGTGCACAAGCAATTTTTTTTTCTGCAATTTTGAACTATATACCATTTAAAAATAAATTTTGATAGAACCCTTGAATATAAATGTATAAATATTATAATTCTCAAGTAAATTGTATTTTCTGTCACTGTTTGGATTGCTTACCGGACTTACCGGACTCGTTGAACAGATGGACAGACTTTAATTTAAATGGGCAATTAAAGACGGCTAAAAAAATGTTAAGTATATTATTTTGTTTTTGTAAGCGGTGTTAATATACAGAGTCTTAAATAAGTGCAAATATTTTCAGGGTTGGTAGATCTCGACAAAAGAAACATATTTTATTTTTGCTGTTTTCAAATAAATCCAAAATAACCGAGTTATTTTAATTTGAAAATTAAAAAAAAATTTTTTTGCTTAAATTTTGAGTCACTGTATCTTTTTTGCATTTTTTTTTCTTGTAAATTTAATCTATTACCATAAGAAATTATGTTTTTTAATTAAAAACTAAAAAAAAAATTCCAGAAATTTTTTCAAAAAATTCTCAATTATTATTTTCAATTTTTTTTTTCGCGAAAAAATCTAGCGATCGTGTTTCTGGGGTTGGAATACCGGGTGCGTCTCAAAAGTGGCTCACTCCTATAACTTTTTTATTTTTCAGTTTAAAAAAAACGAGATTTGGTATGTTAGTATATGGCATAAATTAGGATTGATTGACGCATTCAATTGTTTTCGGTCACTTCCTGTTTCACCGGAAATGACTACAACTTTTGATTTTTAAATGGCACCCTCGGTATTTTTTTACTTTATTCAATAGAAAATCCCCTCTCACGGATATCCCGTAGCCACAGAACGGACAGACGTACTGTACGTCTCTTCGTCATAACGAAGAATGCTAGTATTTGAGATACGGCAAAATTTTAAATAAATATAAAATGAAAAAGGTATAATATTCAGATGCGCAAATTCGCTATGATAAAAAATGAACCAATGGCAAAGTTTACAGAATAAATCGGTTTTGACAAACCGTTTTTTAAATAAGTCCAAAATAGAGGTGGACCAAGATTGATGAGTATTAAAAATGAATCGTGTGATTCGATTCACTGCTTAGAAGTGAAACGTAAAAAAATCAATCAATTCGTTCAATTGAATCGTACGTAGCCAGCACGGATCCATAAGAGCGGTGAGAATTGATTCATTGCTTGCAATACGGTTCGTTCAATTGAATCGTGTGATTCGATTCACTAAAAAGTCGTAATGGCCATCACTAGTCCAAAATTACCGAGTTATTTTACATTTAAAATTAAAAAAAAATGTTTTGTGGTTAAAATTTGAGAACTGCATCTATTCTGTTTTTTTTTCTTAAATTTTATCTACTACCTATGTTGCCATATTATCAAGAAATTATGTTTTTAACTAAAAATTATGAAAATTTCCGAAAAAAATTCAAAAAATTTACAAATTTACAAAAAACTTTTTTCGCAAAAAACCCTCATAGACGTGTTCCTGGGATCGGAATATACTACCCCTAAAAATATTTGCACTTATTTAAGACCCTGTATACCGTCCACAATGTAAAATATCGGAATGGGGGAACTTAAAAAAATCTGTAACATATATTCTGACTATCTACTGTTAAATCTAAAAAATTAAAAAAAAAATCCTCAAGATATTTATATAAAAAATTCCTACGAGATTAGAGGG